CAACTGCTAGAACACCGCTGATTTTTTTACACAATTGGGGAAAATGTTGCCTTTTACATTGTGACTAATTTAATCTAAGATGTCAGTAGTTGTTTATGGATGAATGCACTGACCTTTCAAGCATATGCATGTGTGCTTGTGACTTACACTCGGAATGATCTAATTTATTTTATTTGTTTATATCCTTTATATCTGTATGATTATATATTGCTTTTTACTGATCAGTATTGCTGTTTAAACCTTTGATTTCTATTTTTTTGGTATTGGGAATTGAACCCAGAGGACCTTAAACACCAAGCCACATCCCCACCCTTTTTTTATATTTTATTCAGAGGCAGTTGCTTAGGGCCTTGCTGAGTTGCTTAGGCTGGCTTTGAACTCGTGATTCTCCTGCCTCAGCCTTCCCAGCCACTGGGATTACAGGTGTGCACCACTGTACTTGGCAAGCCTTTTTTTTTCTTTTTGGCTCCCAGGGATTGAACTCAGGGGCACTTAGCCACTGAGCCACATCCCCAGCTCTATTTTGTATTTTATCTAGAGACAGGGTCTCACTGAGTTGCTTAGTGCCTATTGGGTAGGGCCCCAGAGAGCCTCTTACTTTTTCATGAGGTTTATTGTTTTTGCTTTTTTCTTGTTTTGGGTATTATGTGAATGATGTTGTGGTTTTAAATTTCATATCCAATTGTTTATTGTTGATATATTACAAAATGATATACTTTTGTCCCCTCTGTTTATATTCTCTCTCCTGGTATGAGTATTAGCAGATTGTTTCTTTCCAGAAATTGGTTAATTTCAGTCAAGTTAGTAAATTTTTTGGCATGGAATTGTAATATTCCTTTGTGGTTTCTTTAATGTTTATGGAATTAGTGTCAGTGATCCCCTCATTATATCATTGTGGTGGTTATTTGTGTTATTTGTGTGTTTTCTCCTTTTTCAGTTAGTTTGGCTGGGGTTTGTCAATTTCATTGATTATTCTTCCCCCCCCCCCCCCCCCCCCCCCCCCCCGCCAAAGAAACAGGTTTTAGAGCTCAGCGTGGTTGTGGCACATGCCTGTAAACCCAGCAGCTTGGGAAGCCGAGGCAGGAGGATTGCAAGTTCCAAACCAGCCTTGGCAATTTAGTGAGGGCCTATCTATAAATAAAATACAAAAAGGGACTGGGTATATGGCTCTGTGGTTAAGTGCCCTAGGATCAATTCCTGGTACCAAACAAGAAAAAGAAAAGAAATGGGTTTTGGTTTTGTTGATTTCTTTTCTTTTTTTTTTTTTTTTTTTAATATTTTTTAGTTGACACAATACCTTTATTTTTATGTGGTAGTGAGGATTGAACCCAGCGCCTTGCATGTGCTGGGCAAGCACTGTACCGCTGAGCCACAACCCCAGCCCTATTTTTGTATTTTATTTAGAGACAGCGTCTTGCTGAGTTGCTTAGTACAAATAAAGGTTATTGTGTCCACCTAAACTAAAACAAATATTAAAAAAATAGATAAAATAAAGATATTGTGTTCATCTGCAACTAAAAACTTTTTTTAAAAAGAAATCTATGGTTCAGTCTGTAGTAATTTGAAGTTTCTCCAACTATATTTCTGCTGTTGATTTCCACTTCAGTTCCAGTATGCTCTGAGAGCATACTTTATATGATTTCTGTTCCCTTAGATTTGTTGTGGTGTGTTTTATAGCTCAGAACATGGTCTATATTGGTGAGTTTTCCATGTAATCTTGAGAATAGTGTATACTCTGTAGTTGTTAGGTGGAGTATTCTGAAATATCAAATGGCTTCAGTTAATGGATGATACTTAATTATTATTATTATTATTTTTAGTTTTCGTTGGACCTTTATTAATTAATTAACTTATATGCAGTGCTGAGAATGGAACCCGGATCCTTACACATGCCAGACAAGCACTCTACCACTGAGCTACAAACCCAGCCCTAATGAGTTTAATTCTGTTATGACTATTTTTGCTTTATCTGTCAATTACTAATATGTCTGTAGAAGTCTTCAAATATAATTATAGATCTATATTTTCTTTGTTTTAAGTTTGGGTTCACATAACGTGACTCTTAGGAGCATACATATTAAGGATTATTATGTCTTTTGGGAGAACCTACTGCTTTATCATTATTTGATCCCTGTATTCCTTATAATTTTCCTTGAACAGTTACTGCCTGATTAGTCTGAATTAATATAAGCACTCCAGCTGTTTATTTAAATATTTATTTAAATATCTAAATATTTATTAAAAATTTAAATATTTTTTTAGTTGTCAATGGACCTTTATTTATTTATATGTGTTGCTGAGAATTGAACCTAGTGCCTCACACATGCTAGGTAAGCACTCTACCACTGAGCCACAACTCTAGCCCCAGCTGTTTTTTCAGTTAATGCTAGAAACCTATCTCTCTGCATAACATATTTAATGTCTTTGTCTTTATTTTTATTTTATTTTAAAAATATCCATATACTTTTCATTGATACATAAAATTGAATTCTTATAATTTAAAACATCATGCTTTGAAATATGTATCCATTGTGGAGTGCCTAAGTTGAGCTAACATATCTACCATTTTTTGGTGTATGGAAAGGATGCTTAAAATGCAATCCTTTGATTTCCAGAGTACATTATTATCTAGATTGTGTTCAAATTCAAACAATAGGAAATACCAATGGAGTGGGTCCAGTGATTTTTTTTTTTTTTTTTTTTTTTTTTTTTTTTTTTGAGAGAGAATTTTTTTAATATTCGTTTTTTAGTTATTGGCGGACACAACATCTTTGTATGTGGTGCTGAGGATCGAACCCGGGCCGCACGCATGCCAGGCGAGCCCGCTACCACTTGAGCCACATCCCCAGCCCGAGTGATCTTCATTCATCATAATGACTTGCTGTGGACATTGACACTTGGCACTATCTTATTGGCTAAATTTTGTACTTATGATTATGAAATAGGACCTACTTGACTGTTGATTTATTGACTACTCCTTCATTGTCAAGGACATGGATCTTTTTCCATGTATGGTATTTTTATGTACCATTAAATACATTATGATCATTTTCCCAGGTTGGTTGGTTGGTTTTTATGCTGGGGATTAATATCAGTGGTCTTGAGACTTCATCTAAGGATGAAGTCTCAAGACCACTGATATTAAGTCTGTTGCCTACACTACGTGGATAGATGCTATAGGTCCATGGTACAAGGAAATATTAGGGATGCCCCAGCAGTATATTTGAACTCCCCAATGTGACAAATGTTCTCGTTCTGCTATTTCTGTATAGAAGCATTCAAATCTAGCATCAGAAAAGCTGTGTGAGAGAACATGGGTATGGGCAGAGAAAGAATGTAACAACCAAGTCATGCAATAAACGTTTGTAGTTTGCAGCCTTATGTGACCTTGTCATGAATTGAGTACAGGACCCCAGGAGCTGTCAGACTCACCCTTCCTCCTGAAAACATATTTGGGATTCTTTTAGGGGTCAGTGACCTCTGAGAATGTGGCTGTGAACTTTACCCGGGAAGAGTGGTCATTGCTAACTCATTCCCAGAAGAAGCTCTACAGAGCTGTGATGCAGGAAACCTTCAGGAACCTGGCCTCTGTAGGTAAGGGTGAAATCATTCATTCACCTAGTCAGTTAGGGAACAAGTATTCATCAATGCTGTTTAAAGATTTGGCATATGAAAAGGGAATGCTTTGGTAAAAAAGTCAACATGATCTCAATATAATGTGGACCTACGTTCTTAGAAATTTTCTGTGATAATAATTCATAATGATTTTTCTGGGTCTACATTTTAGGACAAAAATGGGGGTATCAGAACATTGAAGATGAGTACAAAAATCCGTGGAGAAATCAATTTTTAAGCTAATATATATATTAATGATTTGAACTCACAAGAGAAAGCAGCATTCCTCAAGAAATTTGGAGTGAGTTGGAAACATTAACATTAAAACATTGCAATCAAAACAAATAAGCCCAGTTTCAAAATTATTTTCTCTCAGAATATTTTCTCCAGAACTAAATACAGGTTGAGCATCCTTACTCCAAAAATTCAAAATTTAGATGCTGCAATATCCTAAACTACTTGAGCACCAGCATGATGCTACAAGTGACATTTTCTCATGATTTAATGTACAGAAACCTTATTTCATGCACAACATTATTTAAAATGTTGTATGGAATTACTTTCAGGCTTTGAGCATATGGTATATTATAAAACCTAAATGAATTTGACCTTTTCTCTTGGGTTCCATCTCCAAAATATTTCATATGTATATTCAAATATTTCAAAATCTGAAATTCAGTGCACTTCTGGGCCCATGCATTTCAGATGAGGAATACCTAACCTGTACTTAAATGTGACTTAGATGGTCAGTGTTTGCAAAATAGTTAAGTTGGAAATAGTATCAAGAAACCCCAGTGAGGGCTGGGATATAGCTCAGCAGTAAAGCACTTGTCTCACATGTGCAAAGTCATGCATTGGATCCCAGTTCCAAAAATACAATTTAAAAAGAAAAGAAAAAATCCTCCCAAAAACCCCAATCAAGAAACCCAGTGAATATCACTGCTTTGACAATATCTGTTGTTGAACCATCTTGCCAAGCAGTCAGTCCATTCAAGTTCCCTTGGTTTATATAGGTATAAAGCCTACACACTTCTTGATGGTGTTAACATGAAAGCTAATATATATTAATAAATGTAAAATCACTAATAAGCAAATCCTTTATATTGTGCTGTTTTTTTGTTACAGAAGTCAAGTGGTAGAGAGACTCGATGAATATAAAAAAAGTAGACAGTGTGAAAAAAATGTTCAGCCAGACTCCTCCAGATCATATTCTGAACAAGAAAACACTTCTTGGAGTAAAGACTCATGAAAGCTGTGTGTGTGAAGTGGCCTTTGGTCATTCATCTCTTAAGAGGCACATCACATCTGACTCTACATGCAGACGACTTAAGTATCAGGAGTCTAGAGAGAAACCCTATGAATGTAAAAAAAAAAATGTGATAAAGTCTTTAAGTGGCCCAGTTACCTTCGAGATCATGAAAGGTCTCATACTGGAGAGAAACCTTACGAATGTAAGCAGTGTGGGAAAACCTTCAGTCTTCCTGTTTATTGTCGAAGACATGCACAAACTCACACTAGAAAGAAACGTGTGTGAGCAATGTGGGCATGCTTTCAGATGTTCCAGTTTCCTTCAAATACATGAACGAATCCACACTGGAGGAAAACCTTACATATGTAAGCACTGTGGGAAAGCCTTCACTTGAGCCAGTACTCTTCGGATACATGAAAGAAATCACAGTGGAGAGAAACCTCATGTACATAAGCAATGTGGGAAAGCCTTCAGAGAGTACAGTAAAATGCAAAGACGTGAAGAGATGCACTCTGGAGGGAAAAACTATGTAAGCACTGTGGGAAAGCCTACAAGGGCTCCAATAATTTAGAAAAACATGAAAAGATTCACACTGGAGAGAAACCCTATTTGTAGCATGTGGGAAGGCTTCATTACCATACAACCATTGTAGCACACATGAGCATGCAGAGTGGAGAGGACTCAACGCCACAGCTCTCATCATCTTGGTTCAGTTCACTGATATAGAAGGACATAATGTAGAGAGACACTGCTTCAAAATAGAAGATGTGTGGAAGTTTTCAGTTGGCCTACATGTAAGGATGCGCACTGGATCAAAGCCCTGTGAATGTGAAAAATATGAGAAAGTTGTCAGTTGTGACAAATAGTTTGAATATCCCTATGAAAATTCCTCACGCTGTGAAATCCTATGAATGTTAAGAAATCCTATGAATGTCAAGTCACATGAAGAGCCTAATACAAAGTAATTTGTGTAAAATGCTGTAGAAAATATCCTACTTGAAGCAAACTTTCTAAAAGTTGTGAGTATTGTGTTCATCAGTGGCTCATCTTTTTTTTTTTTTTTTTTTTTTGGTACCAGAGGTTGAACTTGGGGGCCCTCGACCACTGAACCACCTCCACAGCCCAGTTTTGTATTTTATTAGAGAATTTAGAGACAGGGTCTCACGGAATTGCTTAGTGCCTTGCTGTTGCTGAGGCTGCTTTGAACTCACAATCCTCCTACTTCAGCCTCCCGAGCCGCTGGGATTACAAGCATGCATCACTGCACCCAGCTAGATTCTCATATTCTTTAGCTCTAAATGCTTGAGGGTTCCCATCCTGAATCCCTCTCTAATGCACTTTCCTAACTCTACCCACTAGACTCCATTACTCATGACACCATCTATTCCTCTCTAAAGTTCTATTATGTGACTTGCTTATTAATACCTTTTTGTGTCCCTGGCTCACCAGCTCCCCCTCCAGAATGTCCACTCCCTGGCACCTGGACACTTCTTTTGTTCTCGGCCCCATCCCCATGCCTTGGCACATACCTCCTGAATGGCTACTGGAGATTCCCAGGATGAGCCCATGGTGGGCTTCTTGGGAAGAGACCTGCAGAAGCCTCAGGCCCCAAGGAGATACCCTTTTAGTCATAGAGATAGTCACACAGCCAACTCTGGGCAGGGTGGAGTACCAGAATGTTGAATTTGGGTATTTTCCTGAATTGATCATGCAGTATGACATTCTTCCCAGTCAGCATTGTGATCAGGAAATGGTGAAGAACTGATGAGTCTGTGCTGTACGATATTCAGTAAATTACATGACATTTTCAACACTTCTGTAGAAATCAGACCTTGTTCAATCATTTTCCCCAGGTGAGGCTAATGGAAGTGCTCTGAGCATGTTCAAGGTATGTAGAGCTAAGCTGTGCTGTCCAGTAGATGAGGTGTATTAAATGCATTTTTAACATGATGATGGGTTTATGAGGGTGTGACCTGGTCCTAAGGGAAGGAACTTCTGTCGGCTTGTTAGTCAGAGTCTTTAATGACGTGGTGATCAGCACAGTGCCAATCTCAAGAGATTGTTTCCTGAGTTGCACGCCAGAGTGTTTATGAGTAGCTCCCAGAATAGACTGAACGGTCAGTAAATAGTGGTGTCCTTGATCTTGGAGTGCATGGCTGTTTAATTGGTTTTCCTGTGTTTGTAAGTGAAAAATCTTAGAACTATAACTTCTTGGAAATAAAAGTCAGAGCTCAGATTCAAACTTAAAATGGACGTGTAGTCTTATGCTGTGGTCTCAGTGTTTTCCTCAAAGTCCTATGCGGGAAACTTAGTCCCCAATGCAACAGTATTGTGAGGCAGGGCCTTTGGAGAGGAGTTTGGATGATGGGGGATGTGTCCTCATGAATGGATTGATGCCGCTCTAACAGGTTCATGGAAGTGAGTTGTTTCATCTTGCCCCTTTGCCATCTGCCACATGAGAATGCAGCAGGAAGGACATGTCCAGGTGCTGGTGTCATGATATCAGACTTCCCAGCCCCTGAAAGTGTGAGAAAATAAATTTCTGGTTCTTTAGGAATTCCCCAGTCTCGCATGAAGCTGACCAAAACAAAAATTGAATGGAAGAAAGAAATGAATTTTGCTGGAACAAATAACCTAAAATGTGGATGTGGCTGTGGAATTGGGTAGTGGATAGATGCTGGGACAGGTTATGTGTGTTTGTGTGGGGAGGGTGCTGGGGAACCAACCCCACAGCCTCACACATGCTAGGTAGACACTTTGCCACTGAGCCAAATTCCCAGTGCAAGGCCAGGCAGTTTTGAGTCGTTGTCTTTGCTTTTCTTTCTTTTTCCTTTTTTTTTTTTTTTTTTTTTTTTAACCAGACAAAGGTCCTGCCAAGTTCCGGAGGCTGCTCTCAAATTTGTGAGAACTTGAGATCCTTCTGCCTCAGAGTTAATGTACATATATTTATAATGTGTCCAAATGGAATAATGTTAGAGAATTTTTTCTGGTTTTTGATGTATTCGGTCAGTATTGTTTACCAGATAACGTATATTGTGTGTCTTTACCTAGTTCCTGCCAGAGTAACATGTGAATGTGAAGAATGAAATCCACAGAGAACAGGGTGAGAGCAAGAAACAAGATTTATTTGAATAATAGAAGCAGAGGTCCTGAAGAGGAAGGGGTCCCAAGAGAGGGATGCCAAGGGTCTCTGTTGTCTCGGGTGTTTCATGGGTTTGATCTGTCCCTATATTTGATTGGTAGGGAATAGGATTCAGAAAGGGGCCAATCAGCTCAGTATTTCAGCAAATCTAGGAAAAGTAATTTTTAAGCCTTTATTAACATAAGGGTGGGGGTGAGGGTTTGTTGGCAAAAGAGGAAGGATTTTAGAGAAGATTAAGTGGTTAGCCATTGCTAGGGGTAGGGTTAGGCATAACTAAGGAGCTGTGTGGCTGAAGCTGTTAGGGGCAGCGACAGAACATTCCCAGGCCCGATGTCTCCTTCTAGGCTGGAATGGCCTCATTCCCTCTTTCCAGTCTCTGAGGCCTTTACCCTGTTGGCTTATGGATGGTCTTTCCTGCCTTCTACCCAGTAACAGTTCCCTCACTGAAAGAAATGCTTCTGGGAACATCGACTCCAATGCTGCCTTACAAACAGGTGTGAGAAGGCATCATAGAGACCCAGAAGCACATTTCCTGGTATATAGTGCACATGTGCATTTCCACCACTCTACCCTCCCACTGGCAGTGTGCAAGGATTCCTTATTCCTCCTATCCCAACCCTTGTCTGGAGCTTCCTCGAATGAATGCAACTTTAAGTCCCGATGCCCTGAGGCACTGAACAATTATTGTGTTCAGGCGGGCAAGGCTGCAAGGTCATGCCAGCTCAGATAACAAGGCATGGCTCCAGGAGTAGGTGTCACCCACTGGGGTTGAGTTACACACACCTGTTCCTTTGTAATCCTACCCCTTTGTCCTTTTGGGGGGTACAGTATTCCATGGAACATCCTCCCCCCAATAAAACCCGGGTTCGAGGCATGTTCTCTCTTTCTTGCCTGCCTTGCCTCCTTTGGGGGAGCTGGGTCAGAGGAGCTGTCATAGAACCCGAAGGAAAAGGTATTTCCCTGTCTCTGTGCCAGCCCTGTTCACCTGGAGTGACCCTGACTGGTTTAGTCGTGTGTCGTGGCAAACCATCACTGGGTGTTCTCTAATTTGGAGAAATTCATTGATAAACAGTGAAATGCAATGGCTATTTTTAATTTCCTTCCTTCATTCTTTCCTGCCTCCCTCCCTCCTTTTCTTCCTTTTGTCTATCCTTCCTTTTGCTCAGGTAACCCTTCTGTCAATTATCTGCTCATATTCTGTGCTCATTTTTTGTATTGAGGTTCCTATGTCTTGATATAACTGGTTTCTTGTGTAAGATCAGGCGAGGCGGGCAGCAACCAAAGGAGGCAGATTTTAAAAGGCTGCCAAAGGAGGCTTCATTGAGATATCACTCCCTGGTGGAACTTGATCAGACCGACAAGAGTGAAGGGTCTGAGGAGAAACTGCCTGGGAGCTCAACCTGGACTGGGGTTTTAAGGGGCTTAGGCAGGAAGGGAAGGGCTTGGGACAGGAAAGGTATTTTTAGAGTCCCTTGTCCCACTGTAGTTGGTCCCGGGAGCTGGCTGAACTCCACGATTGGCCAGGGGGTCCTGATGATTGACAGGCGTTAGTCAGGAGATCCTGCTGATTGATAGGCGTTTCTGTTGGTGCCTGATAGATGTTTCTTTCCCGAGGGCTGCTTTGTCCTAAGTCACCGCCACCGACCTGACATCTTGATTTTCAGTATTTTTCCCTTGTCACTTTTGGACAATGCAGACACCTTTTCCCAACTTTCCATCTGCCTGTTAATTTATCCAGGATAGTCTTTGTTGATCACAAATCCTAAATTTTGTTTTTCCTGTATCTTTTTTAAAATATTTTTTAAATTGTAGATGGACATAATATATTTATTTTATGTGGTGCTGAGATTCAAACCCAGTGCCTGACGCCTGCAAGGCAAATGATCTACCACTGAGCTATATCCCTAGTCCTTTTTCCTATATCTTTATAAAGTTAACTTGACATTTGTGGTTTCACCTATTTAAGAGGTCTTGTTGGGCTTGGTGGCACATGCTTGGAATCCCAGCTGTTTGGGAGGCTGAGACAGGAGGATCGTGAGTTCAAAGTCAGCCTCAGTACCTTAGCAAAGCCCTAAGCAACTCAATGAGACCCTGTCTCTAAATAAAATCTAAAAATTGGTCTGGGGATGTAGCTCAGTGGTTGAGAGCCCCTGGGTTCAATTCCCGCTACCAAATAAATAAATTGATGACTAAATAACTTTTTTTATATTTCTGCTTTGATTCCTCACATGATAAATAGCAATAGTTTAGCCAAAGCAAACAAAAGTCCTTTAGAATCCTCCATAGTTATTGTGTGCACAGGGAACTGGAGAGTAAATGTTTGGGAGCTTATTTCTGAAATTAGGTGCAGAAGCTCATCCCTTGGAAAAACTGATCAATGAGAGTCAAGTGTTGAGAATGAAAGACTTTATTGAGGATGCTACCAACCAGGAAAGGAGGATGACTTGCCGCAGTCTGGCTGGGCACAAATGCCGCAGTCTGGCTGGGCACACAATCACAAGCCACCACACAGCTTGTAGATTCAAACAGCAACTCTTTATTCCCGA